GCGGGGGCCTGGCGTGGGTGCCCACCGCGGGCTCCGGCTCCAGCCCCGCGCCGGGGCGCGCGACCGTTATTTTCCGTAAGAGCTAAGCCGGGGGGGGGCGGGGAAAGGGGAGACCCTAGGACACCCCTCCTCCCCGCCCCGGTCACTTGCAGATCATAGTGTCTATCCAATGCCTCGGACAGGGGCTCTGATCCTCGCCGCCGGCCTGGGGGGGAGGGTCCAGATGGCGACCCCCTGCCCGGAAATGACGGCAGAGAAGTATCATTTGGTCCTGGAAGAAGAGGTTGGGAGAGTTTGCTCAGGTGTATTCCAACTGCAGGCCCAGACCAGGCAGGGAAAGAAAACCCCCCCGGGATCCATCCTCCAGGAAGGCTTCCGTGCCGAACAGAACGAGCCCCGCTGACCAGGGGGGCGACCGCTGAAGGCAGTTTGCAGGAAAGCGCTCTGCAATAATTGCTGCTGTTCTCTTCCGAATCGCACAGCGGATGGGGCACAAATCAAGTGCACGCTGACACTTCAGTGTGCTTCTAAGTGCTGTAGTCTTTTCCCCTAGGAAAAAGTAGCCTTTTGTCTTATTTAGATCAACTGTTGTCTGGCAGAGCTATAGCTGCCCTTCATTTGGTCACATCTAAAGGATAGTTTGAAGAACAATACCGAAGTAATTTCTCTCTCTCTCTCTCTCTTTTTTCCCCTCCCAATACAGTGTATAGGAATCGGAACCTCAAGCTCCTTGAGCAATCTTAGGAACCTAGCTACAAAGTTATTGAACATTCAGTCATAAGCCACCAAAGAAAATACTGAAGTACCTAATGACTTTCAACATTTCTACATGAGGCAGATCCGTTTCTATTAAGCAGAAATGCCACTCCCTCCTTTTTTTCTAAGTGGTTGGCTAGAAGTAGTGTTAGCACCACTACAAAAACATTTGCACTTAGAACTAAATATAGTGTTGACTATTTTAGAGTCCACAGTATCATGTGTCAAGCAGGAAACACTGTGTGTGTGTGTGTGTGTGTGTGTGTGTGTGTGTGTGTGTGTGTGTGTGTGTGAAGTTTTTAGCCTTTTCACGTTTCACAGCAATTTTGAACTTTTCACACAAAGCCCAGGTCTACAGTATTGTTGAGGGTTGGGGTTGTGTAGGACATAGGAGGGATGGGACCCTTGCAAACAAAATAAGACACTGATCTCAGTCACTTCCTTGTTCCTGCTCTTCTGATGCATCACTTTTTCCCCCTAAAAATACTTTTCCATAAAAAGGTAACATTGAAAAGCAGTGTTTTAATTTATACACTTAAAGTCCTTGTCATTACTTCTCATTTGTTGTATTTCCAAGTTAAATGTCAGAATAAATGTTCATATATAGCAACAGGTGGTATATTTTTTATAGCACAGATAAAATGTGTAGTATAATATGAAGGCCACTAAAAGGCTATTATTCTGAACCTGAAAACTAAGAGCCCTAGTATATGTAGAACCACCCATATTAACAAGAAAATGACGCATGGCATATATTTTGAAGAGTAGAATAAAACAAAATAAATTTAGGTTAAGTACTTTTTATTAATGTATATTTATTGTTCAGCATAAGATTTTGATATGACATTCTCATCAGTTTACATTAGGATTTAAAAGAATTTTCCTTTATCAAACATAAAATCTGTAGTATATAAAGGTCCATCCAATATCTATTTTGAACTTCGGCAGGTAGGTTGAGACTTTTTAAATGGTTTTTCCAGAGATCAACCATGCAAACTGCCCCAAAACATGTTGCATTTACTTTTTTGTTGTTCTTATATTTTGAGGCTAGGTAAAAATTTGAATCTTTAAGTAGCTTTACTTTAAACATCCTATGCATTTATATGCTCTCTGTTAAACTTTTAAATACAGGATGAAGACGCTGTTTGAAGAGATCAAAGCATCAATTAAAAATAACTATAACCAAGATCGATCATTTTGGAGGCCTGTTCTTCCTTGGGGAGGTGTTTTTACTATCAAAGCTGGCCGCAAAGCAGTATCCTGTACACCACTCTATGTTGAAATAAGACTGAAAAATACCTGCACTATAGATGGGTTCTTGATGTTATTGTATGTCATTCTGAATGAAAATGAAAACTTCCCCAGGGAACTCTCTCTTCATTTTGGTAGAGAGTTTGTAGACTGTTTTCTCTATTTAATGGACACCTACAGTTTTACAACTGTGAAGCTACTTTGGATTTGGGACAAAATGGAAAAACAGCAATACAAATCTGAAGTTCATAAAGCTTCATTAATAATTGATTTGTTTGGGAATGAGCATGATAATTTTACAAAAAATCTTGAAAATCTCATGTCTACCATTCAAGAGAGTTACTGTTCCAACTGGCGGTGCCCTACTCGAGTGCAGGAAGACCAACAGCGCACAATTAGTATCAAGTAAGTTGTTCCAAAATCTGGGCGTGTGTGTGTGTGTGTACACGCACGCAGGCACGTGCCAGTACTGGGACTTGAACTCAGGCTGGGCACTGTCCCTTCGCTTTTTTGCTCAGGTCTGACATCCTACTACGTAAGCCCCTCCTCCACTTCTGGCTTTTTGCTGGTTAATTGAAGAGTCTCGTGGGCTTTATTGTTCAGACTGGTTTCAAACTGTGATCCTTGGGTTTCAGCTTTTTTAGTAGTTAGGATTACAGGTGTGAGCCACCCAATGTTATATGTATCAGTTTATAAACAAAACTAACTGGTAACTCTTCAGTGGCCAGGTAATAAATTATTCACTATGAAAAATATGTTTTACCCTTTGTCTGAGTTTATTAATATTATTAATAATGTAGGTAATTCTTCATGTTGTAATTTTAGGGTGTTCATGGTTGCTGGGGGAGCTCATACTTGAACCATGTCTCCAGCTTTTTCCTTTTGTTTTTATTATTGGTGGTACTGCTATTTGAACTCTTGAGGCCTCATGCTTGTAAGCAGGCACTTTACCACTTGAGCCTTGGGCCACTACACTATAGATTTAGCATCTTAGAGCTAATGTTTCAGTATTTCACTCTTTGAAACTTTGTAAGGAACAAGAGGATTAAAAATGTGTTCATGTCAGTCATTGTGTGGACATTACAGACAGAAACTCTGAATTCAGCATCTCATACCTGAGAGGATGTGAATGTGAAAAGATTTTACATGGACTGGGAAAGATGGTGGGAGCCTGCTGAATATTTTTGGCTTTCAGAGAGAAGGCAGAACTCCAAGCTGGTAAATGACAAGGAGGGAGGCCAAACTGGCAAGCCTTAATATGGAGTATGAGAAACTCTAATGGCTCAAGGGAACATCAGCTAGAAGGGGGCCTTATTATCAGTGGGGGAAAAAAAAGATCCCAAAATGATGGTATATACGATATTTGGCTCTGTGAACAAGAAAAACAGCTTAATATATATTGTTTCTATTTGGGAATGAGCATTATATTCACCAATTAATAAATATTTATGTATTTGTTCCTTTTGCCAGTCCTGGGGGCTTGAACTCAGGGCCTGGGTGCTGTCCCTGAGCTTTGTGCTCAAAGCTAGTGCATAAGCCACAGCTCCATTTCCTGTCTTTTGGTAGTTAATTGGAGATAAGAGTCTCACAAGACTTTCTTGCCTGGGCTGGCTTTGAACCTTGATTTCCCCAATCTCAGTCTCCTGAGTAGCTAGGATTATAAGCATGAGACACTGGCTCCCAGCTCCCAATTTTTCCCATATTTTTCTGAGATATTCTTTATCTATTTTCCTGTATTGGTGAGACATTTATTGTGAAATCTGTTAAGGGAAAATTAGCTGGGCACTGGTGGCTCACACCTGTAACCTACAAGGCTGTTACTTAGGAGGCTGAGATCTGAGGATCCTGGTTTGAAATCAGCCCAGGCAGGAAAGTCTGTGAGATTCTTATTTCCAATAAACTGCCAAAAAAGCTAGATGTGGAGCTGTAGCTCAAGTGAGAGAACAATTGGCCCTCAGTATGCAGGTCCTGAGTTCAAGCCCCAGAACCAACTAAAAAAAAAGTAAAATATTCTGTTATTCTACATCATAATGCAGTAAAATGTATTTTATAAACCTAGTTACAAGTTAGTATCTTTTAATCTATAAATGTTTCAAAACTGTAATGAAATATTTTTGTTTAGATTTATACTAATTTTATACTTAATAAAATGTTTTTCATCATGCTCTTTAAAGCTCTACCTATTTTAACAATCTTGTATTTTACAAAACATCTGAAGAATACAGAGGATCAAAAATTTAACAGATAACTGAAGCCAAATAGGTTTTACTTGCATTTACTCAATAACTGGCCAACTGCACTACTGATTCTGTTGGTGTTCAACGGACAATATTGCACAGTTTTGTTACATTAGTAACAACTGAATGTTTTAGGATCTATTTACAGAAAAAAAGTTAATGAAAAAAATGTATACACCAGTATTTACCGAATTCAATGGATGTCTTCAATATCTTCCAAAAAGAGGAAGAAGTGTTAGACAAGTTGTATAGTTGGTGTACATGGTTCTGTTAAGTGATTGACTTAATAGCATTTGTTATCCTAATGATATATCGATAAAAAGTTGATGTAGTTCTTATGTTTTACAATTATGATAGTCCTCCCCAAGAAATCCCACATGGAAACTTGATACGACTGGCTGTGGATGAGTTATTCTGTTCCAGGATCGAACTATGTGAAGAGCTTGGGTGAGTATATGATATGACATTTAAGATGAAAGTATTTGTTTAGTTCATAAGGAAATGTGAGCTGATGAACTTACATTATGAAGTAGAAACTCATAATTTAGGAAGCCTAACACTTTTTGAATCTTATTAACAAAACTAGTTTACTATGCCATCTTATTGTGTTTTTGTTATCAAATATCACTTTGTAAAATATGGCATTATATGCAGTCAACAAATATAAAACAAATGCTGTTTTCCCCCAAAGCTAAGTAGGTAACAATAAAAACTTGGTTAACTGGAATCCAGCAACTCAGGATTCTTAATCAACTAGACTCCCCCGCCCCCTGCATTCCTCATTTTAAGAGAAAATGGGTAAGGACTGGAGGTGTGGCTCAAGTGGTAAAGCACCAGCATGAGTGAAAACACCAATTGGAAGCACAAGGCCCTGAGTTCAAGCTCTAGTACTAGCACAAAAAGAGAGAGGAGGTGGGGAGGAAGGAGGGAGAGGGGAGAGAGGTAAAAAATGTCAAAAAGAGGGCTGGGAAGGTGGCTCAGTGGTAGAGTGCTTGCCTTGCATGCCTGAGGCCCTGGGTTCCATTCCTCAGCACCACATAAGCAAAAAGAAAAAAGCCAGAAGTGGCGCTGTGGCTCAAGTGGTAGAGCACTAGCCTTGAGCTGAAGAGCTGAGGGACAGCGTCCAGGCCCAGAGTTCAAGCCCCATGACCAGACCCCCCAAAAAAGATGTCAGAAAGGGGCAGAAAATACTCATCGTCTATGTACACATTATTGTATAAGAGTTAATATTTAGAAGGATGATGTCTTATAGCTAATTTAATCACAAAAGGAAAGATAAAATTACATTCAATTAACTGTTTTTATTAAGTGCAAAAAATGAACTAACAGACAATTACTAACAGCAACAAATACTGAAAGAAATGGTTTTCTAGTTACTTGTAGTCAGTAATGTTATAGCCAGAGTACTGTGCCCTGAGCATTCTGGTAGAGATTTTGCTATATAATTGCTGATTCATATATGTAATGTCTGAAAATAATAGGAGTTCATCTATCATGCTGACAGAAGATCCTAATTGAAAAAAAAATGTAGCTGGGATAAACAGAAATGTGTCACTGCACCCAAGTGCTAAGTAAAATGGAATCCTGAGAACTTCGTTTTCCCTGGTCTGGCTTCAAATAATACTCCCTCTGTGCCTTCCTGATAGCTAGGACTACAGGTTTGAACTTCTGTACCCAGTTGTTGTTTTTTTAAGTATCACTTCTAGTTTAGAAACTATGCTGTAATTTTCTAGGAATAGGTATGTATATAAGGTATAATATGGCTCTACCACTACCCATATTCATTACAGATAACTATTCTTACTAGCAAATTGAAGCAACTCAAAAGTATTGGAAGGTATCTTTGTCCCAAGTGTAATAATATTAGTCCATGTCCATTTTCCATTTTAGGTGTGGTGGCTTAAGAGAATTTTCCCAGAGAGTTTTTTGCCATGGGGCACCACCTTTCGTTGTCTTAAATATGCAGCACTGGAAGTCTGAAGATCTGGCATATGTACCCTATTACTTGGATTTATCTGATCACAAGTAGGTGTTTGTTTGTTTTTTGGTACTGGTTTTTGTTTCACTTATTTTACAAAACTTATTTTAAAAAGGGGTTAACATTTAAAGAATATGTTAAACTATACCCCCTGTAAATGACCCTTTGAAGTTCGGGGGGAAAAAAAGCTAGTTTAAAAAAGTATGTATTCTAGTCTGCCATGATTTTTACCAGCCATTCGCCATTATCTTTTTTTCAAGATATCACTGAAAAAAGTCACTAAATCTATGTATTATGAATAGGACCAAAATTTACTTCAGGGTTTAGTCACTATCAGTGTGTGTCAAAATTAGGTACTTTGATTGTAGAACAGAAAACTGGGTTCAAATTCTAGTTCATTTTTACAAGCTATATACCTTTGAGCCAATAATTTAACCAGTGTATCCATGTTTTATTTATAAAACAATGCTACCTTGTATTGGTAATTTTGAAGATTTAACAAGACAATATGATGAGTGTTCAAGATAGTGCCTGACAGTTGGTAAACCAACAATAAATTCAAGTTAATATTGGTATTTGAAGTTAAAGTAGTATGTGGTATGATACAGATTATTATTTAAACAGTTACTTGTCATCATAAATAAATAAACAAAAACATTTACAAACAAGTCAGGAAAGAAGCAGGTACCTTTAACTTTTGCCTTTAAAACTCTACATGTCTGCTGTAATAGGATATAGATTTTGAGTTTATCTGTAAGTTTTCAATTCTTAAGTTATATGAATAAAGTATTTTCATAGAAAATGAAATAGGCACACCAAGAAAGACAAGTACATGTTCTCTCTCATATGCAGAATCTAGACCTGAAATATGTTGAATGGCAAGCATATAAAACAATGACTGTTTGGCATATGAATCAATGGTTGGGGGAGTAGGGTAAACAGAGGATAAGGATGATAAACATACATAATGAACAATGAAAACACAATAATGAAATGCATTAAAATTATTTTGAATGGGGAGGAAGAGCAAGAAAGGGTAATAGAAGGGTGTGGATCAAAGTACAGTATATGCATATATGAGGAAATGAAACCCCTTGTACAATATATGTTAATAAAAATATTTTACTTGAAACCACCAATTATATAATGAATATTTTTTTCAGTGAACAGAATGTAAACCAGTTTCCTTTTTATTCCTCGCTTAATTTAAGGAATGTTTACTTCAAAACAAAGTATTATAATTTTCTGCTATACTTTGTTATTTAACTTTCAGGTATTTGTTGGAAGGTGCCACATTATTTAACAAAGAGGAACACCATTATTCTGCAGCATTCCAGATTGATGGACATTGGATGCACTATGATGGTCTCAGAAATGTGAATTTAATTTTGTTAAATAAACCCCCAGAGTTTCTCCTCTTGTCATCATTGGTTTATATTCGAGCAACAGAGAAATAAATATAGACTGATGCGAAATTAAATTGTTTGCCCGCCTGCCCATGCTCCCCAAGATGAAGGGCTTTTATATTGTATATACTTGGTATCCAAGGAAACAGTTAAACTATATTAGTTTCAGAGGTGTATTTTCCAGTGTTTAGCCCTAGGTAAATGTTTTATATAGAAGACCTATGCAAAAATGTTTGTATTTCTTTTTTATATTTCTTGGGTTATTTTTATACAAGCATATTTTATGTTGGAATAAAATAAATCTTGTGGCCTTTGTATTTTTTAAATTTATATATATATATATATATATACCTCAGAGACTTTTACAATTCTATCATTGAATCCAAAAAAACACTTTGTCATATGAATTTCAAATTTTTAGTTTTAAGTTATCCAAGCAAAACCTGGTATTTTATTTATCTGACTGTATTTTTTTTTTGCTTACCTCACTATTATACAAAGTGTACTGTCAGAATGGGTATAGATTTTGAATGTACCAGTTACAGATGGCTTGGTTTATTTTATCCAGTGCTTTGACTAGTTTCCTTGCAGCAGTTTAAAAAGTATTTATGTGAGAAGTTTTCTAGACTTAAATTATTTCTTTATAATGGGATACTACTGTAACTACTTGCTACAATATTACAAACTTGTCAATGGATTTCAAGTGTTAACTTAGCTTCCAATCTTAGAGTTATTGTTTTAAATAAATATCCAAAATATTTATCTTCTAATTATATGCAATAGAAATTCTACAATAGAATGTTATTTTTGCAGATAAGGCAACTAAGGACACCAGGCAATTGGATGTTATATTGAACTAATAATAGAAATCGAGTTAAATATATATTTAATAGGAGAATGAGTACCTAGGAATATTTCTTGTTTGAAGTTTAATGTTGACAAAGAGAAAAATATACTGGGTTGGTTCATAGTTCAACAGTAGAAAGCCTACCTAGGGAGCTGGAAGCCCTGCCTTCTAAACACCAGTTCTGCTGAGAGAAAGAGAGAGATTGAAAGTGAGAGCTACTGAAACTTTTAGAGTAACATCTGGCTCTTCTTCCTTCCCTCCACCCCTCCCCCGTGTGTGTGTGTGTGTGTGTGTGTGTGTGTGTGTGCGCACGCGTGTGCGTGTGTGCTTGAATTCAGGGTTTGGGCACTATCGCTTAGCTTTTTCACTCAAGGCTCATGCTTTACCGCCTGACCACAACACTATTTCTGGCTTTTTTGCTGGTTAATTGGAGATATGAGTCTCACAAATTCTTGCTCAAGCTGGCTTCAAATTGTACTCTTCAGATCTCAGTCTCCTGAGCCGCTGGGATTACAGGCATGAGCTACTGGCATCCATCATATCTGGTTCTCTTTAAGTAGTAATTGATAGCAGGAGGCTATGGTTTGCAATATAACCACACAATTATAATTAGTATTTAGTTATGGTGATATGTGTAGTGTGTGTGTGCATGCATGTATGTGTGTATGCCAGTACAATGGCTTGACCCAGACTCCTGTGCTTTCTCATAGCTGGTGCTCTGCCACTTGAGCCATGCCTCCAATTTCAATTCTTTGTTGGTAAATTGGAGATATGAGTCTTGGATTTGTCTGCCTGGGCTGGCATCAAAGCATTATCTTCAGTTTTAGGATATTGTCATGAGCCATTGGTACAGGGCTGTTCCTTCATAAGTACCCTAAGATCACGCTTTCTTTTGCAATTTAAAGGAAATGTTCTAAGGGAAAATGCTTTAGACATTTACCACCATTGATTTTAATGTTTACATTTCAATAGACAGTTTGCTGTAGGTTTAAGGATGAGATTAGGTGCAATACATTTAAAGACTTCTACAACACAGTTGTAAACAACACAGTTCACTGCCAAATACCAAATTGCTACTGTTTCATTCAATAAATTAAATCTTTTATTGCTATGGTGCCAAGTTCAGATAACTGCTTATACAGATGGGCAAATGTGGGTGAAATATTGCTAAGAATGCTTCACTTTGAGTAAAGACAAAGAAAATTACTTTTTTAACTTAAGGATGAAATCTAATGGTATATTTTTAGAAATTCACCCAGGGTTTATTTAAGCATTTCCCCAAGTGTAATAAATAGGATTTGATTTATAAGTTTTTCTGATAACACCTTCTTACATAAATCAAAGTACTAAAATATACATAAATGGTGTATACATAAATGGTGTAAAGTATTAACCTTAGTAAACTCTAATGTAAATTCTTTAAGGAATTGCACTTTATTTGGAATACTCGTTTATCAGTCAATGATGTACCTACCTCACTGGGTTGTTGTGAGGATTAAGATAGATGTTTGTTAAAATATTGACTACCTTGAATATGCTAATAAAAACCATTTTTCTACCTCTTTCATGTCCATAAAGTCTCTCAGATTCTCTTACTATGAACTTTTTAGATTTTTTTCATGTATTTAGGCAGTAGTTCATATTATTATATAAGAGGAATTAAATGTGTGTTCTTGAATCGCAACTAATTGGGGTTGAAGAATTGGCAGTATTTTGTTGCGGTAGTGCCTGGCTAGTAGAGACAAATTATCTCTGGCTGACCAAACAGTGAGTCATAATCAAGAAGATTGAGATAAACTGGATTACCAACAGAATATTCAGGTGAGAATGTGGAAATTTCTTTGTAAATACCCTTAGAAAAATCTAGGGAAGAGAAGCCAAAAGGTAAAGAATAATCAGAATATATTTTAAATCAAAATATCACCAAGAAGAAAAGTTTTAAAACCTTGTCTACCACCATGGGAGATAAAGAACAAAACTAATAAGGAATATCCAACTTGATTCTCTTCAAAGTACTCTCCAATTTATGACAATTGTATTATTGTGTCAATGTGTATTATTCATTCAAAATAGCTTTCACTTATAAATTATTTTATGTGGCTTAATATTAAACACTATCACTAGTCCCAATCCAATAAATGAGAAACAGAAACATGTAACTGGTAAGTAAATGAGTAAGAGAGAATCCAGTGTTCTCTTAGAAATACATGTAGATAACTACTATGACACATGAGCTATAAATGTTGATATTCTGAGCAGTATTTTAACCAAGTAAATGTCATAATTATTTGAAAATAACTTTCATTATAGTTAGGCAGAAAGTTAGAACTTTATGTAAAACCACTTAGTATACTATTTTATCTAAAACATTGACCTTCCTTGGTCAGTGTTTGGGCACTTAAAATCAATGTCAAATTCTTCAATCCTAAAATTCCATATCGTTTAAAGTTGATCTCACTGAAACTTTTATACAAATGTCTTAAATCTAATGCTTTGCTCTCAGGAATTCTAAACCCTTGACTCGAGGTTCAGTCTCTGATCATCTGGACAATCTTCTATGATTTGAATGATGTTCTTTCAGAAAATTCAAGTTGAATTTAATCCCCACAAAAGTGGTATTTAAAAAGTGGGGCCTTTTAGGAAGTTAGTAGGATTTCCTCTCAGCCTTCATGAATGAGCTTGCCCTTACTGAAGGATTTGAGGGACTGTATTCTATCCTCCCTTCTGCCACATGGGGACCCAAGGAAGGCTCCCTTTAGATGTTAGCTTCTTGGCGTCCAGAGCTATAAGAATACCAAGTATTCTGTTATTGCAGCACATTCAAATTAATTTTAAAGAGTGAATGCCACTCTTTTCTCTGGAAAGTTAAGAAGTACAGTTTAGTAGGGAGGCCTCTGTAGCTAATTTTTATATGCTAATATCTGAGGATCTATATTAAATTAAATTCAAATAAGCAATATGTTCCATAATCTGACGTTTTCTCAATAAGGTCTTCTGCAAAGGATAAAAGCAATAACAACACTTGCTGCTGAAAAACAGCTGGGAGTGGTGGTCTACACCTATAATCCAATAAATCAGAGAACTGAGGTAGGTATATTGTTACATGAAGAATGGAATGAGAGTTTTGGAAGCAAATTAGCTGTGCAAGGTGTCAAGTTAAAAATCTGCTCCTTGTGTATTTGACTACAGTTTTATTATTTTTCATGTTGATCCTAAGGTGTGTGTGGAATTTGTGTGTGTGTGTGTCTGTGACAGAGCTGGCGTTTGAATTCTCAGCCATTTGTTTGCTAGGGAGTCACCCCATGACTTGAGCTATTCCTCTAGGCCATCTGAATTTTTTGTCTAATTTTAAATAACATTATAGGGCTTATAACTTCTGTTCAGTGACAAATCATGAGTTTGTGATGCCAAGATTTTTTTTTTTTTGGTTACAGCTTACATCTGTTTTATTTGAGCATAGTTTGAACAGTTGGCTACTTGTGAATGGCTTAAACCCATCTACTCTCACCAGAGTAGATTTCAGTCTATTTACATATCAAGTTAGGTCAAACTTTAAGCCAGACTTAAAATAGGTACAGAGGCACCGTTAAGCCAAACAACTCAATTGAACAGAAGCTTCCTAGAAACAGACTTCTGGAACTAAGTTTATTTTCTTGCTAGATAAGTCATCTAATTCTGGTTCCTTAAGTAAATAAAGAAGAAGTCAGACACAAACATTCACATCCTATGTGACTTCATTTACATTTAATACCTTAAACAGGTAAATTCAAAGACATTAAAAGCCAATTGGTTGGTAATTGCCAGGAACTGGGGTAAAGGAAGACAAGGAATAAATGTCTCGTGGTTTTGGAGTAACAAATGTATTAGGAAAGAAGATAGGGATGGCTGTTGTATAACATGGTGAATTTATTAAATGTCATTGAATTGTTCACCTCAAAAAGATGAACTTTAGCTGGGCACTGGTGGCTCATTCCTGTAATCTTACCTACTCAGGAGGCTGAGATCTGAGGACTGCTGTTCCAAACCTGCCTGAGCAGAAAAGTGCATGAGATTCTTTTTTTTTTTATTTTTTGTGAACATACTGTACAGAGGGGTTACAATTATATGGGCAAGATAATGAGTACATTTCTTATCAAGCATTGCAGCCTCCTCCTTTGTTTACCCTTCACATCCCTTCCCAGCCTCCCCCCCTGTGATGCTAAGATTTTTTTTTTCAGTCATGGGGCTTGAACTCTGGGCCTGGACGTTGTCCTAAAACTCTTCAGCTCAAGGTTAGCACCTACCACTTGAGCCACAGCACCACTTCCGGTTTTCTGGTGGTTTACTGGCGATAAGAGTCTCAAGGACTTTCATGCCCGGGCTGGCTTTGAACCTGGATCCTCAGATCTCAGCCTCCTGAGTAGCTAGGATTACAGGCATGAGCCACTGGTGCCCAAGCTGTTTCTTTTCTTTTTTTTCCCCAGTTCCGGGGCTTGAACTCAGGGCCTGAGCTCTGTCCCTGAAACTTCTTTTGCTCAAGGCTAGCATTCTACCACTTGAGCCACAGCACCACTTCTGGTTTTTTTTTGTTTATGTGGTACTGAGGAATTGAACCCAGGGCTTCATGCATGCTAGGCAAGCACTCTATCACTAAGCCACATTCCCAACCCCTCTTTTTATTAATTGTAAAAAAATATCGTTTGAAATAACTTCCAATATTGTCAAAATTACAGAAAAGTAGTAATAATAAAGTTCTTGAATACTTTTTCCAAAGTTGAACAAGTCCTATTTTTTTTTTTTTTGTCAGTTGTGGGGCTTGAACTCTGGACCTAGGTGCTGTGCCTCAGCTCTTCAGCTCAAGGCTAGTGCTCTACCACTTGAACCAGTGCCACTTGTGGCTTTTTCTGTTTATGTAGTACTGAGGAATCGAACCCAGGGCCTCATGCATGTGAGGCAATCACTCTACCACTGAGGCACATTCCCAGCCC